ACTCCCACTAGGTTTATATCTGGGACTCTCCACCATTTGACCTTAGAACTGAAGAAGCTTCTCGGATGAAGGTGAAACGTCTTCAAGTAACTTAAAGAAGTCCAGACGCTTTTCTTTGCAAGCTCCTTTGATTATTGGTGGAATAGTACAATGACAGCCAAGCCACTGAGAGAGTATCTCAGTGCAATAACATCAGGAGACTCATATGGATGCAGTGGGAAAACCCAGGTAGAAAAAAGCAGTGGAATTAAACTAGATGATGTCTAGCCATCGAGGGCACGACTCCCCAGATCACTAACAAACACTCATCAGAGTAGATGCTTGCAGATTTGATCACTGCTATATGCACCATCCCCATCTACAAGTAGAGGAACTCCAACCCTCCATGTAGAGGAAGGCTGGAAGCCAAAATCGAGGAAGCACAGAGGGATGTACAGAAGTCAGGGCTCTAGACTAACCTTTTGACATGGGCGCACCGCTACGCCTAACTTTAAAAATTTAGGCGTACCGGCACAAAAGTTAGGCGCACTAAAATTTTTCAACTGCATCGCTTAACGCCGCAGTTTTACGTGTGCACTTTCTTTGGGGGGGAAGTCCATACAGACAATATTAATTTCTAAATTATTAACTAACAATCTTGTGCTTAAAGTGCTTTGTCAATATTGTAGAAAATGTTAAACTTAATCATCATCTCGGCTCCTCTGACGATGAAAGGCAGTGGGGAGAGGGGACACTTGGGCATTTATTGCAGCATATAATGTGTTTCCTGGATACACTGCTGCTTTTTCAGCATTCAAAGATTGATGGCACCGTGTCAGAGCTGGCTATGAATTTCAGACTGATCAGGCCTTAACTTAACAAAAACGTTATCAATAGTTCTTTTCATCTTTTCTCATTACCCACAGCTACATCCATTTCTCTCAGGCCTAGGCTGCTCACTAGGGCTGGGTATCATTACTGATTTCTATAATCCATTCAATTCAGGTTCTCAAAGTCCTGATTTGATTCAATTTAGCCTCAGGCAGTCAGAAATATTATAATTCTGATCATTTATCAGTACTGATACACATGAGACTTCATCAGAACTGTGAACATCACAGCAGATGCCTTTGTGTGAAAGTAACTGAGAATAAAACACAGAAAAACATGAAGATTTTCCTGGCCTGGCTTTTTATAGCAGATAACCTTAAAAATATTCTGCAATATTCTGCAATTTTGCATAATTTTAAGAAGTTTAAACTTCTTCAGTATTGAACAGCAGAAATGAGGCTTTCTTGTCCGAGGTCATTTAAGTGAAAAAAGAAAAAGACAGCGCTGTAAACAACGGTAGACTGGTGGGTGATAAGCGAATGAATAATGCAGAAAACAGAGATTTGAGACAGGAAACTGTTCCTGAAGTACAGAGAGAGAGAGCTGTGCAGGAAGTGTGATTTTTATCGTGGTGGAAGCAAAACAGCAAAAGTCAGAGGACATTGATCAAATGTGAAGCGTAGTTTGCTGCTTCTTTTGCTGCTGGCTCAGCAAATTTTGGTTGGAGAGAGACAAAACCAGAATCAGCGCAAAAAGACGTAAACACAGAGCGGACCCGACGCATCAGAATCGCTAAGCTCCGACAGCGTGTCCGTGTTCGGGCCGT